TGTTGATGTTGAGAGTGTGATTAATTTTATTATTCACATTATCATTACGGCAATATAACCCCCCACGACTGACACAGTGTGGGGAAAGCCTTCATCCAGCAGCGGATCGGGAATGGCTGGATTAAGAAAAAAAATCGTTTAACAACGTGGACTTCATAGCAACTGTCTGTGGGGTCAAGCCGACGTCTTACCCGTCACTTCACCTCCTGCTCTCTCATCTCTCCCCCCGCCTTCTCTCGCCACTCTCTCCCCCTTCTCCCTCTTAAAAAAAGAAATGTATTTATTTCTTTTATCTTTTTTGTCTTTTTCTCTCTCTTTTTTTACCATCACAGGAAACAAGAAGATGCTCGGTGTAGTCGGCACTTTGCTTCATTCATCATTTCGTTTTATTTAGTTTTTTGTTGTATATTTGCTTCAAGTAACCCCCCCCCCCCCTCTCTACCCCCCCTCTCTCTCTCTACCCCCTCTCGCTCTCCGCCTCCCCTCCCCCTTCACGTTTGGACCCCCGTCTCTAAACGCGGCTCGATATTCTAGGCAGAGAGGTGTCAGGGCTCTCCAAGCGAGTGGAGGACATCACTCGAGGGGGCACTTCAACTCCCGCCTCTTTGATCGGGGACTTGGTCCTCGCGAGAAGCCGGCTTCCTTTATACGAGCACACCGCCGTGTGTGCGTGCGTGTCTAGGTGTGTGTGTGTGTGCGGCACAGAGAGTGGTGAGCCTCTCCTAGGTCGACTCAGCCTCAAATTAGTGGTAGTTGGGGGGGGGAGCGGTAGCGCGCTGCGCTATGAACCAGGCAACTCGAGTTAGATTCCCGCTCACGGCCAACACCAGTGGCGATTATCTTAATCGGTCCTGGGCCTTCCCTAGGTCGACTCAGCCTCAAATGAGTACCTGGTGCGATGTGTAAACATCGCCACTTTGGAGACAAAGGCGGTCGGGCGTGGTGTTGGCCACCCACCCCCTCGTGTGCCGTGCCGGCCTTTAAAGGTGCGCGCTAACAGCACTTGCCCCTACAGTCTGTTAAGGCTATACGGGTGATCTTTGTCTTTTTGTGTGTGACACAGAGAGTGTGAGCCTCCCTAGGTCGACTCAGCCTCAAATGAGTGGTAGTTGGGGGGGGGAGCGGTGGTGTAGCGGTTAGTGCGCTGCGCTGCAACACCCGGCGAGCCGAGTTCAATTTCCCCGCAAGGCCAACACCAGTGACGATTATTTGAACCGGTACTGCGCTTCCTCTAGGTAGACTCAGCCTCAAACGAGTATCTGGTGCGGTGTATAAACATCGCCACTAAGGGGACAAAGGCGGTCGGGCGTGGTGCTGGCCACCCACCCCCCTCCTGTGCCGTGCCGGCCTTCATAGGTGTTAGCTAACAGCACTTGCCCCAACAGTCTGTTAAGGCTATACGGGGGATCTTTGTCTTTGTTTTTTAGCTGTAGTGTAGCAGTTAGCGCGCTGCTCGTCGAACCCCGGCGGCCCGAGTTCGATTCCCACTCACGGACAGCGTCAGTGACATAAATCTTCAGTAGTGCTGAGCCTCCGCTCGCTCGCTCGACTCTTAAATGATTCACTTGGTGCGGTGTGCAAACATCAGCAATGTGGGGGAAACAAAGGCGGACGGGAGTGGTTCCCAACACCCATCCTCCTTCCCTCCCTCGTGTGAGAGTTCGGGCCTCCAAAGGTACTCGCGAACAGCACTTGCCCGAAAATCGGGGTGAAAGCTATATGGGGGATCTTTGTCTGTGTATCTATATGCGTGCGTCGGCGTGTAAGCGCACTGACACCCAGTCGCTCCTTCTTCATCAACCCTCACTCGCCGGGGTGGTGAAGTATGGTCAAGCGACCCGTATGAGCGAAAGTTGTGGAAAGGCCTGCATCCATTTAGCGATTGAATAAACCGAGGGCTGTAATCTATATATAATTATATCCCATGTCCTCGTTAAACAATTATAAATTTGTAGTTTCAATGTGAGCTCTCACCGGTTATCAATATGCGTATACATTCACGATCACATATAATGTACGTCGATGCTACTTGTGTTCAATTATAACAACATGTAAAATCATCAATATAATATATTAACTAAACATAATAATAATAACATTGTGTCAACTCCATTAATGGTTCAAAGTCGTGCAGTGATTTGAACCGAACGAAAAGGGTCGCTCACCGCCCGTTATCAGTCAATGTCACCTCGATATACATCATCGACCAAAAAACAAGGATGCATATCGGGAACAGGTTTTTTTTCCGTCTCTTTTTTTAAATACGATTTGAGATTAAAAGTGTAAACAACGGCGGGAACAGCTCACGTGAAAGGATGACTGGCATAGAGGCGAGAGCTCTGTGGATTCTAATCCAGGGCCGTGAGTGACTAAGCCAGGTTCTCGAGTGTGGAGATGGAGCCAATGGTATGTACGTACGTACGCATGTTAAACTTCTTTCGCACCATACGTTAGCCGAACGTGCTAATCAGAGGTGCGGGGAGAAATTGTCTCAGCCGGGTCACCTCCAACTGCATGAGATCGTCGTGCTAAGTTTTGAGTTTGCACCTCCGATTGGAACTGTTGGCTACATACGGTACGAAAGAAGTTCAACATACAGGGACTCCTCTACTTACGAACGAGTTAGGTTCCAGAGGTCTGTTCGTAAGTCGATTTGTTCGTAAGTCGATTTGTTCGTAAGTCCAACTTTACTCCTGTTAATTCCAAACTATGTTGTACGGTATGTACACTAAACAAGGGGAATGGCTTTAAAAGTTGTATAATCTCCTCTAAATGTAGAAGCTACTGGGTTTTCATGTTCTGCAGATGTAGATGCCACCACCACCATCTATTGCGTAGCGGTTGAACTTACGACTCTCGGCCCGATCAGGCAACTGGAAATACGGACAGGTTGTTCGTATCTCTGAAAGTTCGTAAGTCGAGTGTTCGTAAGTAGAGGAATCTATGTACATGTACACTTTACTTGCTGACTTATTTGCTCTCTTGCGATGGAGCAATTCTCTCTGTGGCGGTGCGGGCGGGACAATACAGCACCCGTCTCCTTGCTCCCCAACTGTGGATTTACGACATCATGTATACAGATTTCAACAGCTGTTCTCTGGCATCTCTATAAAACTAAACTATTTTTCGATTTAAAGCTTTCGTGACTGCAGGGATTAATTTCTGTCGGAAAGACGCTGTCGGACAGCCCTGTTCTTCACCTGAGGACGGCTGCTTGCGTTGTGGCCGAAACGTCGTGAGAATTGTATTTTATTGTTTTATTTTTATTATTTTATTATTTCCCTTCTACGTGACTTTACCGAAAGAACCAAGGAGATAAATTATTTTTACCAAGGTAAGGCCCACTGAGCTATGTAGCTCTTTTTCGGAAGCGACTTGGCTATTACAAATAATAGCTCCGAGGAAGTGGGGCTCATCACGTGGAAATATATAGCAGCCAAATATTCTAAACGCACGCTGATTCTAAAATGTGCAGGGGGAAAAAACAGAGGACCCGGAAAAAAATCCAGCATACAAATATACAGCAACAGGCGTCAGGGTCGGGATCGAACCCACGACCTCCTGTATACCAGGCGAGGGAGTCAACATCTCCTAGCCACCGTGGCGCCCAAATGTTGACTCCCTCTGTCCGCGGCCCGTACTCTGACGCGGAGTGATGCTAATACCGGATCGGCAAGGGGGGGGGGGGGGTTCGAACGGATATCGTGATACAATTGAGGTAAATAACAACAGCAACAACATCGTAACAGTCTAAAATACCGTACTTATTAAAGACAAAGTATTTGGTGAGGCTGTTACCGCTGCGGTGCACCAACACGGTTAAACAACACAAACAAACCAAAAACTCCACACGTTCGTCAACAACAGTGTGGTCATTAAAAAATATATATAATAGGCGTCGTTTCGGGCAACGGCCCTCCTTCACAGCACACATGGACGACGAATACGTTGACATTTTTGAAGCGTATATTATAATTGATGCACGACGTGGGTGCTCGCTAGCAGCACTTGCCCCAACAGTCGCTTAAGGCTATACGGGGGATTTTTGTAGGTGTATGCTTATTATATGTTATATATATATATACACCACGTACTTCATTACCAAACAATTGTTGAACAAAACCGCACTCTTCCAATTGTCCGACGCAACGCACATCATTCACTGTCGTGTTTCCAGATTGCGTCGATGCGTGTTGTTCGGCACGATGTCCGACGTTTCGCTCCACGTGAAGCGCACGCAGCAGCAGTAGTATCATCACCGTGAGCATCATGGTCATCATCATGCCAAGGGGAAGACCTAAGGTGAGGTGGTAGGATGCTGCTACGCGGAGGGTACAGAAAGCGCTCGCGACGTGCAGCGTCGTCAACGGGTTTGGCCACAATGACATCTTGATCTGGATCGTCAGCCATGATCTCTCCACTGCTGGATGGATGGACGACTCACAATCCCTCACGGCGCAGCGACGCTGCCAGAATCTCGCTGCAATGTTGTACTCCGTGCATAGATCACTGCGCAATAAGACAAAGACCCCCCGTATAGCCTTAACAGACCATAGGAGCAAGTGCTGTAGCACCCTATGAAGGCCGCAACGGCACACGAGGGGGTGAGTAGCCAGCCTCACGCCCGACCGCCTTTGTCTCCCTAGTAGCGATGTTTACACACCGCATCGGGTACTCATTTGAGGCTGAGTTGACCTAAGGGAGATGCCCAGGACCGGTTCAGACAATCGTCACCGATGTTGGCCGTGAGCGTGAATCGAACTCGGGCCGCCGAATTCACAGGGCAGCGTAGCGCTAACCGCTGCACCACCGCTCCCCACCACGCAATAAACGCACGCGCGCGCACGCAACACACGGGCGCGCGCGCGCGCGCACCACGCGCGCACTCGTGCGTCGCGTGCGCGCGTGCGCTTGCCGCAAGATCCGAACTGACGGCAAACGAACGTTTGAACTGCATTCGACTTCGCCGGCAACGGAACGTGCCTCGTGACGTGCGCGTGCGCGCGTGTGCGCTCCGGGGTCTCGGAGGCCGTAGCGCATCCCGCGGGGAGGGCCACTCGGGGGCGAGTTCAAGGTGTCCCCGACGTCACTCGCCGAGGCGTCCAATTGTGGCGGCTCCCACGAAGCCCGGAGTCAAGCCCACCTTGTTTTTTTTGTGAGTGAGTCGGGGTGCCGTGAAAAGGCGGTGAGCGTTGCTCTGGGACGGTGACATCGTCGAGGACACGACCCGCAGCACGAGCGCGGAGGGGAATTGACAAACTCAGTGTGGCGGCTTAGCATGGATCTGCTTCGGCTGCCTGCGGCTGGGGACCGACGTGAGACCGGCAGAGGGGCTTCGAGCTAAGCTCGATTGTCGCTTGGTTACGAGTCGTGAGTGGCCGTTCCTGCAGTCGGTGAGTCGAATTCGTCACTTTTCGCGTCTTGTTGATCGGCACTCCAAAGGGCGCCCCTGACAGGGACCCGAGAGAGACGGACGCGCAGAGACGCAGTGACAGCGAGACACGGGCAGTGAGAGGGAGGAGGGGCGGGCGGGCGTGCGTGTGTGTGGTGACCTCAAAGGTCCCTTGAATCATCACAGCGATGGACGGAGAGAGCCACGCGTGCGTGCTGGAGCGCATGGCTCAATTCCCCGCGGCTCCCACGTGCCTTCAGCTCGGAATCCCCGTCTCCTCGGAGCCCATGGGCTACGGCAGCGGCGGCATCGGTAGCGGCGGCATCGGGAGCGGCGGCGGCGGAGTCGGCGGCTCATACCCTGACGCCGTAACGCGCTACCACCACCACCATCACCCGCACCACCACCACCACCACCCGCACCACCCAGCGCTAACAGACAGCGGACATCATCACCACCATCAGCTCCACAACCCTCACCCGCATCACCACCACCATCCGCACCATCACCACCACCACCACCTGCCGTTCCCCGTGGATCCCGCTTACCTGGACCCCGCGTACCACGACGCCTACACGGCAGCGGCGGCTGCGGCAGCGGCGGCGGCGGCGGCCGCGTCGGGCCGCCTGCCGTACCACCTCCACGCGGGCTACTCGGCCACGTCGGGCCCCGCGGCGGCGGCGGCCGCGTTCGCGCTCTACCACGAGTACGCGGGCTTCGAGCCCGCCTTCATCCGCAAGCGCAACGAGCGCGAGAGGCAGCGGGTCAAGTGCGTGAACGAGGGCTACGCGCGCCTCCGCGACCACCTTCCCGACGAGTTCAGCGACAAGCGGCTGAGCAAAGTGGAGACGCTGCGCGCGGCGATTCGGTACATTAAGCACCTGCAGGCCATGCTGGGTCACGGAGGCAACGCGGAGATGCGCGGCCACGACGACGAGGATGAGGATGACGTCGACGACGATCTGGATGAGGACGACGAGGAGGATGAGGTGGTCAAGGTGATGAAGGCGGCGCACGGCGCGGAAGCCGTCGCGTCTGGAGGGATGACGCTGGTGCAGGGAGATGGAGGAGGAGGAGGAGGGGGAGGAGGAGGTGGAGCAGAAGAGGTGGATGAGGATGGAGAGAGGCAGAGGAGGAGGAGAAGGGGGCAACGAGGGATGGCTCCTTGTGTGTGCAACAGCGACGGGGAATCCAAGAGCTCGTCTCCCCTGCTCTACAGCGAGACGGACGAGGGGCTACATTCGCACTAGAGTCCCGAGACCAAGCACTTACTCCTGCTGAGACTACTGCTGCTGATACTGCTGCTGCTGATGATGGTGGTGGTGAATGTAACATTTACTACGTGACAATCAACAGTGGTGGAGCTGTGGAATGAGACCGGCCGCCGTCATGGATAATGTGGAATTTCCACCGCTGACTAGGAGCAGCCCATAGAGATGAGTGAGGCTTCTTGACTGATTGAGCAGAGAAAAAAATGTGGCGATTAGATGATGATTAAATGATGATTATGACGGCGATGATTACATATACATTTGATAATTACGTATATAAGAGTTAAGCGTACGCGCATGAATTATGACAATATTGGCTTACATATCAGACGTGCTTAGTCGATGATGGAGATGTTGATGATGTGCGCGAGCACGTCTCAGACTCCGCCTATTAAAACGTCGCTCCACTCAAGAATGTAAAGAATTCTCAATGTTCTACCTATACAAAACGACCTACTGTACACACGTGTACACACACACGTGTACCCACACACACGTGTCCACACACACACGTGTACCCACACACACGTGTACCCACACACACGTGTACACATATACACACGTGTACACACACACGTACGTGTACACACACACACACGTGTACACACACTAGTGTACACACACACGTGTACCCACACACGTGTACCCACATACACACGTGTACCCACACACACACGTGTACCCACATTTACACGTGTACCCACACACACGTGCACACACACGTGTACATACACGTGTACCCACACACACGTGTACACACACGTGTACCCACACACACGTGTACACACACACTGCACAAACACACTCACACGTGCGCATTCGCACTCCGCGAGCGTTATATATAAATGGTATGCCAGCTCCGCTACCTATGGCTATGTGTGATACATCGATATTTCTGCTCTACGTTGCATATAAAAGAGAATCAGATTCGATACAGATATAAAGCGAATTGGGTTTGTCGTCGTTGTAATCTATGAATTCGAATTAAAAGTTACTTTGTTGATGTCTGGTCCTGCTCAGGAAATATAAATATTCCTGGATAAACTGTTGGTATAATGACCAGAACGGTACCGATGCAACTGACTTGTGTACTTACAAGTTTCTCATGACATGTATATGTGTGCGCGTGTGTATTTATGTTTGGATATCGCTTTTGCTCTTTGGACAAGTTTGGAGAACTGCATATATATTTCCACTGAGTCCATTGCCTCGTCTGCCAAGGCAGGGCGTATTGGCATTGTACATTCGTTGTTTCTTTTTCCAGAATCGTGTATTGATCGCGCGCGTGTATGTGTGTGTGTGCGTCTATGTTGACGGTGGTAGAGAAGCCTTTCTTAAATCCGGCTCGTGCTCCATTGCTTTATTGGCCTCCTTTATACATTTTTCTGTTCATGTCTCTGAACAAGTGAATATGTCTACGTCGGCTCACGATGATGGTGGTTGCTGTGTGTTGCAGTCTATATACTCTTTGGTTTTATCGATAAAGTCACGTAGGTTAGAAAAGAAAATAAATAAATTGAATCACGACGTTTCGGAGGCAACACAAGCATCCGTCTTCAGGTGAAACCGTCACAGCAAAATTGTTGTATTTGTTTTATTTTTTAACCTACGTGACTTTACCGAAAAAAAAACAAAGAGTATGAATCCTTGCAGTCACTAAAGCTTCAAATCTAGAAGCAGTCTATATAGTTTGCAGGTGGTTTTGTCGAGTGATGCTTGAGGAAACTAAATTGTGCTGTATTTGACACCTTTATATCTCACACGTGTGAGTAGCAATACACAAAGACAACGATCCCCCGTGGTGTAATATTCAACAGACTGTTGGGGCAAGCGTTGTTAGCGAGTAGCACCTATGAAGGCCGGCACAGCACACGAGGGAGCGGGTGAACAGCACTACGACAGACCGCCTTTGTCTTTCCAGCGATGTTTTTTTATACACCGCACCAGATAGTCGTTTTAAGACTGAGTAGACCTAGGGGAGGCGCATGATCGGTTCAGATAATCGCGAACAAAGACAAAGATCCCCCGTCAAGCCGTAACAGACTGTTGGGGCAAGTGCTGTTAGCGAGCACCTATGAAGGCCAGAGCGGCACACGAGGGGGTGAGTGGCCAGCACCACGCCCGGCCGCCTTTGTCTCCCTAGTGGCGATGTTTACACATCGTGACCAGGTACTCATTTGAGTCTGAGTCGATCTAGTGAAGGCCCAGGACCGGTCCAGATAATCATCGCTGTCGGGTCGCCAGGTTCGTATCGCAGCACGCGAACCGCTACACCACCGATCCCCGCACACACAAACACAAGGCACAGTCCGGAAGCAATCCCTGCGATATTTTTGAACTGATAACAAAAACAAGAGTGTAGATATTAATTCTCGAGAATGTTGTGAATGTCGTGAAATGTCATTTATCAGATGGCAGAAGCCAGTCTCGTAACACAACAACGTCAGACCACACGCGATCCTGACGACAGCAGTGGCATTGACCACGCATGGCACCTTTTCAACATCTAAAATCACCTGCTCAGTTCTTTTGAAACACGGCCTGCGCGTGTGTGACTACCTCGGGAGAACCGGCCTGCCCCGTGGTTGCTCCTCGGCTCAAGTCCTGATTTCACTGATTTCGTTTTATTGATGGAGTCTGTGGAGCCAAGCTGCGCCAGCATTGGGCAAAACCGAGGCCCCATCTTTTCACCCAAGGCCACTAACTTGAGGGCAGAGACTAAGTGTTGCTAAACTAACATTTAAAGCTAACTAGAACATATGAAATAATCACGACTAAGATACAAACGACACATATATATACGATTAAAAAGGATAATTACATAACGTGCATTAATTTAAAATCTCGTCCATAGTCCACAAACTATCCGGGACACTGTTCCAAAGGCAGGATCTCAATGATCATGACACATTTTTCGATTTAAAGCTTTCGTGACTGCAGGGATTCTTCTTCTTGGTTCTTTCGGTAAAGTCACGTAGAAGGGAAGTAATAAAATAATAAAAATAAAACATAATAAAATAATTCTCACGACGTTTCGTCTGCTTGCGTTGTGGCCGAAACGTCGTGAGAATTATTTTATTATGTTTTATTTTTATTATTTTATCATGACACATCTCGACTCTAATGCACACGTATACAGTACAGTACAAGTTAACCTGTTGCATTTAATTAAAGTCCTGCGGAGGAAATCGGAGGCATTGCTTGGTGAATGGTGCAGTGGACCAACATAAATCCACTAATTTCTTCACACCAAAAATCGCATTCATTTTAGAATTATACCCGCAATATTCGTTCAAGTAAGCAGATTCTGGACCGGTTTTTACATTTTGGGGCCTCATCAGCAGTGCTATTATTTACACACTGTTAAGGAGCATAAACCGAACTCCGCTCACCCTCGCAGCAGCAGCAACAACAGCAGCAGCTTTTGTCTCAGCCATCGAACAAAGACGGTGACTGCATCTCGCGCTTTCAGATGCGCTTCTGCGGCCGTCTGGAACGCTCTTCCTTCCGATGCGAGGAAGCCACTGGAGCTATGCACTTTTAAATCATCTAGAGTTGACAAACTAATTTCTTTGCAACTGCTTTGTGTGTTTAGTTTGTTGTCCATCCGCCGCGCCTCCGGTTAGCAGGATCGGTTACGTACGGTGCGATAGAAGTTCAACAAACATACGTCAGGCTTGTTGAATAAATACAGCTGAGTAGCCCACCATACTTCACCCCGCTGGTCAGTGCGGGTGGCAGAACCTGTTCAGATATCGCTTACCACAGATTTTAGCCGTGGTCGGGCTTGGTTATGAATATCAGGTGGCAGGGTTCATAGCGCAAGACATGTAAATTAATTTACATATTTATATAAAACCAGAATATGTTTTATTTGCATTCCTAGACTAGAGGGATGTCCGACCAAAATAACGAAAGAGAGCCATACTTTTAAAATTCGGTATAAAAAAATCTCAATATTTCCAGAGCCGCAATGCATCGTGAATAACGCGTGGCGAAGCAGCCTGTTCAAGAGGCGCGTGCGTATTCGGAGCCGCAGGATGCCGGCACCCTGCACGAGACTGACAATGTCCTATGGTTCTTTCGGTAAAGTCACGTATATAGAAATGTTTTAAATAAAAAAGTAAAATAAAAGATAAAACAATATCACGACGTTTCGATCGCAACACAAGCGGTCGTCATCAGGAACAGCTGATTTATGTTTATATATTTTAATTTTTCTATCTACGTGACTTTACCGAAAGAACCATAGAATATGAATTCCTGCGGTCACGAAAGTTTTAAGTCGAGACTGACAATGTTCTTGCTTGCCTCTCGTCGGAACCCCGAGGTGAGAAATCGTGCTGACCGAGCCGGGAGTTCTGTTTGTGTGTCTATGCGGTGGGTACCCACGTGCTCCGAGCGATACAAAATTCCGAATTTAGTTTTTTACGAGCACGACACACCCATGGGTACATTTGTTATCAATGTTGTTCTTAATGATGTCCGTGATAAGTTTTAACTTGAGAAAAAACGAAGATCATCTAAGGTGTTTTATGCTGTCACCGGAATAACCATCTCTGAGCCCGTCAACTGCACACATACATGTGTGTATGTGTATATATATATGTGTTTGTGCTTATACCATATCAATTGTACGCGTGTATTAATGCGTGACTGTGTAACTATACGTGAGTGTGTACATGCTGAGTGCGTTTGCGCTTGCGAACAGCACTTGCCCCAACAGTCTCTATGTGGCTAAACAGGGTAGCTGTGTTTATGTTTTATATATATAAAGTACAGATTTCCTTCGCTTTATGCTGGTTAGGTTTGTGCGATTTCGCATAAAATGCGGCTAAAATATTTCTACCCAAGAATTCGCTTCATGCGGTTTGAATTCACTCAACATGCGGATACACGGTCGAAACGTGGGACAAAATTGTGTGTGTACTGTGTGTGTACTGTGTGTGTGTGTACTGTGTGTGTACTGTGTGTGTGTACTGTGTGTGTACTGTGTGTGTACTGTGTGTGTGTACTGTAGAGTCGCTACTTATGAGGGGGCGGGTTTTTTTGTTGCCCTTATTTCTTGAAACGCATCTACCGCACAAAGCGAGGGAACCCTGTGTGCAGACTCATAGCGATGCTGCTGCCGCGGTGTTAAACGGTGAGCAGCAGTACATTGTACCTGCAAATCCAGAGGTCGCCGGTTCGATCTCCAGGCGCGGCAGGTGTAAACAATGGGCGAGTAACTTAAATGACCCCCACACCCCCCCCACCACCTCCCTCCCCCACCCACTCACTGCCCACCCAGAAACATAGCTGGGGACACACCACGCTCAGTCGATCTACAGGTGGTGGGGTCAAGGGCGGGCTCTCACACCTCTTCCAAGACTTACTGACCAGCATGGAAGAGTAGGCCAAACGCCACTCTAGAGCCCCCTCTCTAGAATTCGCCCCCCCTCTAGAGCCCCCTCTTTAGACCCCCCCCCCCCGCCCTTCTAGAGGTCACTTCCAACAGCAGTGACGTCACCAAGCAATTGCAGGGATGCGCCTTTACCCTGTCTCACATCTCGGCCAGATTTGCGTGTTGCACGACGAAATTACATTTTAGTTGCGATCATCTAAACAAAAAAAGTATATCAGTAATAATAATAAATTGGGCAACCATACAATTAGCACGCTGGTCGGAGCGGGTTGATGAAGGAATTGAAAGAAATTGCCGAACATTTGTGTGGCGTGTCGTGATTGTGTGCGGCGTGATGTCCTTTTGGCAAGATGTGACCTCCATCCTGTGGTCTTGTCGAATCTCGCGCGCGTTGGAAATCTCGCTCGTATTTAAATAATTCTATAACGTGGATTCATTAAAGAGCATTATTTAATTTCACACTCGTGTTTGACTCGGTTCATATCGGGGGGCTTTCGTGCGTTGTGCGAGGGGAGATCACTCTAGTTACAGGTCAGAATCAGAATATTTATTTGCACTGGAGGAATCCGATGAGCTATGAAGCTCATTTTCATCGATGTCCAGTCGGGGTGGGTCAGAAAGTTACAACAACAACAAACAATACAAAAACACGATAGGAGTGCAAAGTATAGGAAAGGTAAACGAATCACTAAAAAATATTAAGTAAACATAAACGAAACTACACCAAATGGACCTAACGTCATTGCTATGAAGGGCTATTTCCCGACATGTCGCCTAGTATATCGTTTTTTAGTCCTTTTTAAGGCCACAGTGTTGTCACTGATGAACGTATTGAGTTGTTTGGTTCACGCAAATGAGACGGACTGAGTCTCTGCAAGGAGGATGCTCGCCAAAATCAACGTTTTGGGCGTTGTGTTGAGCGTGGGAGGATACAGCAGAGTGGAGAAAACACCACGTGGAGAGAGAGAGAGAGAGGGAACACGCGCAAAGCGGTGCGCGTATGTCGGCAATCTACTTGCTGCGCTGCTATCTAACTTATTTGACCAGGTGAGGCCCACTGAGCTGTGTAGCTCTTGTTCAGAAGCGACCTGGCCACAAATGGGAGCTCAACGAAGTGGCTTATCACGTGTAGAAATCTACAGCAGCTAAATAATCTAAATAATCTAAACAGCGACAAAGACTGCTGCACGCTCGGTGGTGGTCGAGACTAAGGACGGAGTGGCAGCAAAGGTGGTAGAAAAATACGGCCGACAGGACATCGAGCAGCGGAGATGGAGCGATGTACAACTTCGGGTGTGTGCTTCTGTGGCGAGCGGTGGTGCAGCGGTTAGCGCGCTGCGCTACAAACCCAACAACCCGAATTCAATTCCCGCCCACGCCCAACACCGGGGACGATTATTTGACACCGGTCCTGGGAATCACCTAGGTCGACTCAGCCTCAGATGAGTACCTGGTGCGGTGCGTAAAAACATCGCCACTGGGGAGACAAAGGCGGCCGGTTCTGGTGCTGGCCACCCACTCCCTCGTGTGTCGTGCCGGCCTTCATAGGTGCTCGCTAACAGCACTTGCCCCAACAGTCTGTTAAGGATATCTGGGGGTTCTTTCTATTCTATTTCGAATGAATATGCGTGTGCCTCTGGCCCCAGACGGGTTACCGCATCGCAATGCCACGAGAGAGGCCTCCATCCAGGAGTGGAGAGCGCACGGCTGACGGTCACAGGTCGCGCACAATTTGAGCGGTGGCGCAATGGGGCTGTTGGCCAACTGCATCCGCTCGAGTGGTTATTTTGACGCCCCCCCCAGCCCTCCGTGCCCCCCCTCCACCTCACCGAACCGCAATGGCTAGCGTGGGAGGGCGGGGGGGCAGGAAGTATAGTCCAACCACCCTCATGACCGCCACGGCTTGGAGAGGCCTTTGTCCAGCAGTTGATTGAGAAAGGGCTGCAAGTCATCATCATCATCGTCGTTAATCATTGATAACATATTCATATTAAGCAACATCATCTTAACATAATCGTATCCCTGAAAGCAGTGAAAATCGCGGGCAGAGTTGGCTGCGTGCGGTGTTGGCAACGACAAGAGGCGCGTGTCGGGGACAATGGCAACTCTCCGATGCGTCTAATGGGTTGCCCCTCGTGTTCCAGCACCACGTCCGACGTTTCAGCTCCGCGTGCTGGGACCTTTCTGAAGGAGCGCGCGTGGAGGAGCGAAACGTCGGACATCGTGCCGAACAACATTCGACAACACCCCTAAAAAACACACACACAAACACACATAATTAATTCTGTGACGTGACATTTATGGATAGAACACAATCGAGACTGCCTCGGCAGCTGTATCGGGGATTATTGCTACTGTCAGTCTCTCCGATTAAAAAAATAAGATACATTAAAAAAAATACAAAAAAAAATCACGCTTTAATGAAATGTACCGTACGAGTAATGGCAGAACTCCACGACTCCAGGAAGTGGCCCCGAGGCTTGCCATAACGTAAGGGACCATGGTGATTTACAGCCAACGTCAGTTGAGCGTGGACAATGAGACCCAAGCCGAAACATAAAACCTAAAAGAAGATGGGTTTATTTATTTATTTTTATGATAGAATATAGTATTTCCATCAGTAAGACATAAGTATACGAAGTTTGCAGTCGATACCACATTGGGAAGTGAGGATAAAATTGAGTTACAAGATTTGAGGATACGTCAACGACAACAACGACAGCAACAGACAGAGTTAAATAAAAGTATAACCCGTAAAAACAAAGTTTTTCACTATAAATTATTTATATGCGTGGCGGCTAGAGTCCTCTCGTCCTCTGGCTTGAGATGGCTGCCACCTATGGGTCAGATGATTGTCTGCCAGTATTAAGCAATTGGTAATTAAATATTTAATTTGTTTTCCCTAAACAGTGTAAAATGTTGTCTCGCACAATGAGTCTGTGTGCAAAATGTCAGCTCGATTGGATCACGGGAAGTGGGTTAAAAAAACGACCGAAAGATTTGCACGGTCGTAAGCAAGCAAGCAATCACGCAAGCACGCAAGCAAGCAAGCGAACTTAATATAAATGATTTAAAAAGCGTGTAAAAAGAGTCGGCTTCGTCATCTACAAGTGGCTGAGCATGAACCACGGGCCGAGCGTTCCGCGCGCGGTGCCACAATAAGAGGGGCGTTGCAATGCACGGGGTTTAGGCGACTTGTGAGTTCGGATTGGAAGGGATTCCAATAAGAAAAGACGGCACAGTCACTCAGAGATGGGACGGGGTTGGTGGGTGGGTGGGTGGGGGGTGTTATTGTCGACCCCTCGGTCGGCTCAGCCTCAAATGAGTATCTGGTGCGGTGTGTAAACATCGTCATTGGCCACCCACCCCCTCGTGTGCCGTTCCGGCCTTCATAGGTGCTCGCTAACAGCACTTGACTCAACAATCTGTTAAGGCTACACTGAGGGATCTTTGTCTTTATTATTGGTGGAACGCGTGTGCTGCATTGAAGTGACATCCATCTAGAAGTCGGTGAGCAAAGGAAAAAGCTAAGGCCCGATGGTAGGGTGAGGCTGCAAGACTGGTCCTCAAAGTACATGTTGACTACGACAAGGGGAATGACTATACTCTTTGGTTCTTTCGGTAAAGTCACGTGACCAGCCAAGTTAAACCATCAACTCGCCACACTTGAGAACCCGGCTTAATCACGGGCGGCCAGCAATACGCGTCTCTCACCTAAACTAAACTGTTTGGTTATTTCTGTAAAGTCACGTAGGTAGAAAAAATAATAGAACACGACGTTTCGATCGCAACATAAGCAATCGTCATCAGGTGAGACAGCAGTTTTTGTCTTGCTGTAGTTGTCTCACCTGATGACGATTGCTTGTGTTGCGATCGAAACGTCGTCATCTATAATTTTTTCTACCTACGTGACTTTACCGAAAGAACCAAAGATGTATGGATTCCTGCAGTCACGAAACCTTAAAATCAAGGGGAATGACTATTAACAGATGGCGGTGATTATGGGGCTGTAAGAGCGGCCCTTGATTGAAGATGCTCAGTGCAACGAGGGGAGTTTCTATTGCCAGCTGGTGGTGGACGATGAGACTGGAAGAGCGGACCTTGAAGGAGTTGTTGACCTGTGAAACAAGAGGATGACGAGGGTGATGATGATAACGATGGAGACGAAGATGATGGTGATGACGATGGTGACGACGATGATGGTGATGACGTTTGTGTTGATGACGATTCAGTTTAATTTATTTTTAGTTTCATTTATTTGGTATAGCCCTGTGAGCCATTCGGCTCTTAAATTGGGTGCAACAGTAACAAACATAAAACAAAAACATGAACAAGAAAACATATTAAAGTGACTATGCGCAAACAGAAAAATCCAGGAAAAAACTGCAAAGTCTTCCAGAAAAAAAAGCACCATACACCAACGCTGTGCGAAAATCCCAG